AATTTCTCTGACTGTGTTATGGGCTACTTTAGTTGATGGGATCTGGCTTCTGAGGCCTGGAAGATCCTCATCCAACTTTTCATTTTGGGCAAAATGGACCAGCATTGCATTCCACTGTTTTACTGCTTAAAGCATATTTATTTTGTATTTATTTGAACAGAGTTATGTCAGACTATTTTTATAGACTTGTTTAAATATTGTTACTGTGCTTGTATTTCTCCTGTTTTAAAAAGTTCTCTTATTTGTTCTCTTACATCACACAGCTGAGTCGTGGGGAGGGATGTTAAAGTCACTTGTGTACCTTCCCTTCAGGGCCTGAGCTGCCTTTCCCACGTCTGAGGTTGTTGCTGGAGGACCTCAGCCCAGAGAAATTGTGTAGCAAGAAGCCATAGGAGAGAAGGGAGCTGGTGAGGGAGCAGTATCTTGGGGAGAGGATGCACGGTGAGGCTCGCCTTACTTTGGAATTGCCTCTGTGCGTGGTTTCAGGGGATGACTGAAGTTGGGAAGTTGAAGGTCTGTGAATGTTGGGTGTCACAATGGCTCGTTGAGAGCGGTCTGGGGGAATTTTGAGGTAAAGGGGGAGGGGAGAAATCTCAGGGACTAAAGGAAATGCAAGTTTCCAGAGATACAGAAGGAAACTTGCGCTTGGACACAAGCTGCTGCAGTTGTGCCTTGAGGCTGAATCAGCAGCCCCTGCTGCTGAGCTCTTCACGTGCAAGCGGGCACTGTGGAGTGTGGGAGAAACTGGAAAAGGATCTGCTAGCTCTCAGCAGCTGCTTTTCTGCTGACAGGGTTTGGTGGTTCATGGGGAGTCTTCCAGGTGAGGCTCTGCCTTGGCTACCCAGTGCTGTCAGTCACCAACCACGTGGAAATCTAACCAACCTGGATGAGTGATGTGATTTTTTTTCCACCCCCTTTCTTGAGACTTGTCATAAATTCTTCAGTGGCTCCTTCTACCAGTGTGGCCTAATGGGAGTATGAATATCAGAATGCAAAAATCAATGCAAAATGACAACCATCTTTGTAGCTGTAACCACAAATTGTTATAATGCAAATCTAACTCGGATTCTTCATGTAGGGAACAGTCTGCTAATAAAGGTCTGTCAAAGAGATACCACGTGTCTGCATCCCTTTCTTGATACGGTTTAGTGGTGCTGTTTGTGGCCAGGCTCTTCCTGGGGTGGTTCTCATCAAGGATGCTGATGCTGGGGATGATTCTCCCTATGAGAACCTGGGGAAGCAGAATTCTTCTTAAAGACAAAACCAGCAAACCTGAGATGAAGGTGAGTGACGGTAGCGATGGGTCGGGGATGCTCAGATGCTGTTAACTCATCTCTGGGTGCTGCTGGACTTTGCTCATCTGTGCAGTATTTGTAGCTCACCGCTAAGGGAAGCGTTTTCTCAGAAAAGCTGGAAACTGCAGTCCAAGCCCTCAAAGGAACCTGGCTTATAGGGTTTTCAAAAGAAAGGCTTTGCACAAGTCTTCCTTCAACAAATAGAAACCCAGCCCAAGGAGCCATCCTTGAAGGTCATTCAGGGGCCGTAGCTGGTCGTGCGAGTGGCCTCTGATTTGGTTAACAAAACTTGCTGCGGGGGCCAGACTGGCTTTGTTGGTTCCTTACGTCTCCGACTGTAATTCAAGGCTTTTATTCAGCTATAAATCTACTCATAAAGTCTGGGTCCTTGTAATCTGAGCCACTGCTTTCCAGTGGTGTCAGCTATGGTCAGCTGAGACGCTTATCGACGCGCTCTTGGATTGCAGTGCTCAGGGCTGCTGGCACCTTCCCCTCTCCACTGCTCCCTCTCCTGCCCTTTAACTGTCTCACTCCTCGAGCTGGGGGTTCTGTTTCAAGTCACAAGCTGATAAAGATGTGTCTGGAGCAAGGGCTGACCAGGTACCTGTGCCCTGAGACCAGGAGGGAATTGGCTCCACTTGACCTTGTAAAATTTGATTTTGCTACAGGAATCGGGCCAAAGGCTCAACACTGAAACACCGCACAGTAAATCCTGCCCAGGGCACCCTGGTGCTGCATTTGGGAGGAGCAGCTTTCTTCTTTGCTGTGCTCCCTCCAGCTTTTCTCTTGTTCTTCCTTTTTAAGGAAGAGAGATATTTTCAGTGCTTAATTACTAGGTTAGAGCTGAGACTGAATTACTCTCCAGGCACAAAGCAGGAGCCACCTCTTTTTAAATTCTCCCCACTTTCATGCACAGTGTTATGGTGCTTTCCTCCCTTTGGGGCTGGGGGTGTGATGAGATGAGGGGTGTGTGAGGTGCCTGATGAGTGCAGGGGTGTACCAGAGGCATGGGCAGCAACGTGAATCTTGGCACTCGAGCCTTCTCTCCCCCAGGCTGCCAAGCTTATTGGGAAATGGGGAAACATGACCTTTCTCTTTAGGGAAGTAAAAATCCAGCCTGGATTGGGTTAGCACCCCTCCCTTTCTGGCAAGAAGATTATTTAATTTGTCAGTGTCATCGTATTATGTTGCAAACCTTGCTGTGGATGAACGTCATCGGGGAGCTCTTGCCTGGTCCAAAGGATTTGGGCAGGAACATCTGCCCCATTTGGGCTACCTCTGGAGGTCAAGCTGCTGTCAGGGGCTGTCGCTTCTAGGTAAGTACCCGCTTCCTCTCAGCCCGTACAGTTAAAGTTTCCAGCCTTCTATAGATTCGTTACTCATCAAATGCTTGGCACACCCATTTAAAATAGTTAATGGTTGCCCTCCTCTGGTGAGCCTCTATTACTGCTTCATTGAAGTACCGCGTTTTCAGTACAGCGCTCTTGCCCGCCTGGCGTGAGGCTGAGCAGGCTGAGTCAGCGCTGAGAAACCTTACACGAGTCCCCTTGTTTTGCATCCCTCATTGCTTAAGCTTGGCTTTCCCCGACTCCCAGTTGAACTGAGTGTTCAATTTCTATTTGCAATCCCTGCTTTTAGTCTCTTCTGAGCCCCTGCTCTCCAGCATCTCAGCAATAAAATGCATCGAACCTGAGGAAAGCATTTATTGCCTAAGGTGGCATCAGTTACCCGTGCTCCCAGGCTGGCGGGTACCTGGAGGAGGTGATGCTGTGACCGCAGTCGTGGGCTCCATGTGTGGGCTGTTTCCTTTTTCAATTTCTTTCACTTGACACAGCTCCTTCCAAAACACCAATAACAAGGTAAGTGCAACAGTCAGTGCATCAGCAGGAGAGAATGTACTGAAGAAAGGGGTGTTTTCATTTTTATCTGATTATCAGTCCAAGAGGATCTAGAGAAGCTATGGGCTTCCATGTGCTGCCCCAGTCACCGGTGCTGCTTGCTGGGATGTGGAGCTGCTGCTGGTACCGTTTTCCACCCCTGTGCTCTACCAGGTTTCTGGGGCAAAGCTGTGCTACGCTGTCAGGTCAGCGACTGTGCTCTGAACGAAAGGGGGATTCAAACTTTTTGAGAAATAAGGAAGAAGCTCATGCTGCCCAGGCACTCAGAATTAGCGTGGTTTAGGCTCTGCTAATGCCTCAGGCTGGGGCAGGGGTCTCTGAGCCTCTGCTCACGTCCATCTCTTTCAGCCTGCTGACAAAGGTTCCCAAAATCTGTGTTTAACTGGTTTCATTTTACTCTTCAGATGCAGTATCCAACCTCTTGGCCAGGCACAAAACCATTCTCTGCTAAAAGCAATTGCACCAGAACTTGTAAGGACAAAACAGTCCTGACTATTCCACTCACCTTACCTTTCTCTGAACTTCATTCATCCTGCCCAAATTTAAATGTGATCCAGAGGCCTCTGCAGCCCCCTCGGTCAGCAGCTGCCTGTTATTAATTTGAGGGAGCTGGGCCCTGCCTCCCAGGTGCTGCCCATTGCCTTAATGGGGAAAGGAGCCCTGCCCCACCGTGAGGGTTTTGGTCTGTGCCTGTGTCCCTGTCTCAGTTCTCCTGTGGGGATGGTTTTGAAAGAAACATTTTGAGGCCAGTTGGGGGTTATGCTGGATCCAGTCTGTTAGCTCTGAGCAGGGGTTTGGGTGCCTCTGGAAGCTCAGAGTCTCTTGAAGTGGATGAGAAAATGGCCAGGATGGATCAGGTAAAGGTAAGATGTTTTTCACCTTCACTTTGCAAAAGGGAGCCTTGTCAAGCTGGCCTGGGGACTGGGTTATCTGTAGGATAAAATGTCCAAAACCAGGTAGCAGGGCTAGGGCTGGGTCTGGTTAATCTTTTGATGGGAAAATTAAAGGGAAAAGTTTGGTTTTGTGGGAGTGGATGGTGTTGCCTCTTTCCCCATGTCCCACGGAGCTGGGAGCTTGGGGCTGGACCCCAGCCCAAAAAGGAGCCTCTGTGCTGGACACCCCCACGCTGGGGCAGGAGGAGGACTGGCTTGTGCAATCTTCCTGAACCCTGTTTTTGGCCAGCCAGGCTGTGAACCTGCTCATCTCACAGTGCCTTGGGGTGCCAGGAAAGCAAATCCCGATCTGAAAGCAACCCAAGGTTTTTAGGGGTTCGTGGCTTTGGCTGCAGAGGGACTGTGCAGCACCCCAGGGCATCGGCCCCTTGCTGCACCTCCTGGAGGCCTCAGGCCTCTGCTGAAGGGGAGCAAAATGAGGAATTTCAGGGCAAAAACTCCCATGCTTTAGCTATCTCAGATGCTCAGATGCAGGAATTTGGGGAGTCACGTATCTGTGTAGGGGTGTGTGTGTGTTATTTTAAACCCCCATTGCTGTCAAAGCAAGCCTGTACTTACTGTGTCCCCTAAATAATTTCCACCACCTTGAAACTCTCTATCTGAGACCCCAGTTTGGCAGCTGGAGCTACAGCCCAGGGTCTTGGCACCCCTGGCCAGGTGGAGGCTCTGCCGACCCTTGCCCACTGTGAGTGCCCACGTACCGTTCTCCACGGCGCGTACACGATCTCCTCTTTGCTCAGGCCCAGGCACTCAGCGTGGTGCTCGAACTCTTCCTGGTCAGCTGCACTCACGCTCAGGTTTCGGGCTGGGAAGGGAGAAGCATTTACCAGGCATTAGATATGGACCAGAGGCCTCGTATACCTGAACAGAACTGACCTCCAGCATCACTGTTTTTAAACTATTTTCCCAATCAGCTCTGGTCCTCTCTGCTTTAAGGGGTTTCGGGGTAGTCTTTGACACTTTTGGGGCATTGGGAGGGACTCCTGAGTATGGAGGCAGTTTTGTATATGTGTCTTCACACTCCTAAGCAACTGCTTTGCTTGGAAGGGCAATGGGAAGCCTTATCTGGGTCTAAAATGCTGCATTATGGGGTTGTGGGTAGATCAGATCACTTTTTCCCTGTGCCAGTACTGCAAAGCCCCGTGCTCTGCCCTGGGAGGTAAGCACCAAAAAATCACGTTTGACTTGAAAAGATTGGAAATGCTGCGTTATGGGGTTGTGGGTAGATCAGATCATTTTTTCCCCATGCCATACTGCAAAGCCCCGTGCTCTGCCCTGGGAGGTAAGCACCAAAAAATCACGTTTGACTTGAAAAGATTGGGATTTTATGACGATATCGATGCTGAATTGTATTTGCTTCCTGTTCTTTGAATGTTTATGGTGTAAGTGGGTTTTGTCTTTAACTTGATCTATCTGCTCTGCCAAGAGATTCAGGTTTTAATGGGGCTTGTAAATCCTGCTGTGACCCTTGGAGCGGTGGTCTCAGGAAAATCGCAAAACTGTTGGTGAAACCAAGTTTCTGTGTGGTTGTATCTGGTAATTTCATGTGCGTGTTTTGGTGTTGCACCAAAGTTACGTTAGGTGTTTTGGTGTTGTTTTAAGTTAGGTTAGGATGGAGTTTGCGTACCGTAGAGATACAGTCCCAAATATGTCCTTTCCCTCTGCAGTTGGTGCTGGATGAGTAGAACGTCTTCAGAGCTGAGGTTCATCAGCATCCCCACGGTTTGATGGGTCTTGGCTTTGAGAGAACAGAATTGGTGTTGGGAAGAGCTGCAATACTCAGATACTCAGTGCTGCAGCAGCAAAAGGTTGGGAAGAGCCGCGATACTCAAATACTCAGTGCTGCAGCAGCAAAGCCCACAGCCCAGGTACGGGCAATGCTCACAGCCCCTGGATCTAAGGTGGTGTGAGTTGATTGGTGCTGGGTTAAATTGAATTCTTAAAGGTGGGCCTGGGGTGTGGAGGAGCCAAAGTCACCCAGCGCCTGTCCTGGTGCCACGATGGCGCTCAGGGAATGGACGGGTCTGCCTGCCCCCCAGTGCCCAACCTTGCAGTTTGGGGGGCTGTAAAAATGGGGAGAAACCGCCCCCTGCTTGCAGTGATGCTGACTTGACATAGTACAAACTATGTCTCTGGGGATTGCAATTCCCACCCCAAATGGCTCCCACACCCTTTCCTCAGTCATTCCCCTTGCAATGGGAACAGGTTTGTATGGTGCTGCTTTGTGGGGCTTAGACTCAGGGTGCCCCCCTTTGGGGAGCTGTTTGGAGTCAAATGGACAAAGGGACCTGGCAATAGAATGCTTCACATGATGTAAAACATGGACATGGGCCTTCTGCGTATCTCAACCCATCGTGATACCCCTGCTGCCTGTGCCCACCGGTGCTGCTCACCGTGCTTCACCAGCGTGGTGTTACCAGGGACAATTTCGAAGTAGGTGGAGTTGTTGGTGAGACACTGGTCCCCCCTGGAGAGAGACAGGGGATGGGGGTGAGGCGGGGAAGAGGAGCAGAGACCCCCACCCTGGGCTGGAAAGGACCAGCAAAGACCCAGACCTGGCCCTGACCATGACCCTGGCCTGGAGCACCTGTCCCCTGCCACGGATGGGAATGCAGGGGAGGCTCCTTACCCGGCCACAAAAAAAAGATGAGCAGCTCCTCGCCGGTGCTGGACTCCACGTGGAGGTGGCCGTGGTCGATGAGCAGCATCTCCAGGAGGTGCTGGGGGAACTGGGCGGCCCCGGCCACATAGAGCCACGTCCCCAGCAGCTGCAGGGAGAGAGGGGCAGGGTGGTGAGAGCTGGTGGGTTTGCAGGGAGAGAACTGGGGAAGAGATTGCCACCCTCCCCATGGTGAAATTGTTATTTTTGGCCTTTGTCCCCTGCTGGTTCTCCTACTGGCAGCAACAAAATGAAAGCAGTGCAAACGCATGGGGGAAAAATAAAATATCTGACTGTGGGCATTGGGAAACAGCGCTGGTGTTGTCTGTGGGTGCCCCTGCGCTGCTGTGGGAGATTTGCAACAAAAATTACCCAACCGGACTGCTCTGTTTTGCTGTCATCTCTGGGACTTGCTGATGGACAGTGGAAATACAGATGTGCTATGGGGGACAGGAGAGGGTTTC